ATGAACATGAACATGAACATGAACATGAACATGAACATGAACATGAAAATGAACATGAACATGAACATGAACATGAACATGAACATGAACATAAACATGAACATGAACATGAACATGAACATGAACATGAACATTAAAATGAACATGAAAATGAACATGAACTTGAACATGAACATGTAAATGAACATGAACATGAACATGAACATGAACATGAACATGAACATGAACATGAACTTGAACATGAACAGGAACATGAAAATGAACATGAACGTGAACATGAACATGAACAAGAACATGATCATGAACATGAACATGAACATGAACATGAACAGGAACATGAACATGAACATGAATACGAAGGTGTAAATAAACATAAACATAAACATTAAAAGCGATAGAGACAAAGATAGAGAGGAAGAAAGTGATAAGGATAAAAAGGAAATACAACTGAAGAATGTGCGATGTTATATTGTGATGTGTTATGCTACATATGTTATGTTATTGAATCAAATGCTATTCTATGTTATGTTATGCTAAGTACTAAGCTAAACTCCCCTCCACTTAACCCATTCCAACAAATTTTATTTCAGCTCAACTCAACTCACATAAACTATCCTTAATTTTAGCGGTTGAATTTCAACCGCTGGGCGAACACTAGTATTAATTAATTGATGAATTAAGTGGAACTTTAATTCTCAAAAAAATCCCGCTAAATACAGTTAAGAAATAAGAAATATTCAAACCCCATTCGATTGATACCCATATTTTAATAATTCATTTAACTTATAGTAGGAGATCCGACAAGGGCACGACCTTCACCTATCTGTTTAAATGGATAAAATCTACTTTATTTCATACAATTTAACGAGTTAGGAAATATTTCGGAAGTGGGTTGGCTGAAAAAATCCTGGCCAGGATATTTTTAATTAAATATTCAAAAATTATTATTTTCCTTTTTAATTTTTCACTATTTCAGCATAAATCCTATAGAATGTGTTAAACAGAGGAGTGAAACATACTCGTATTACCTACCTGTTCATACCTGCCAACCCGATAGGTAGGCCATGAAAACAATAGACAACCCAATGTTTTCACATTCTATAGGCTTAATACTTTCGATTGTTATATAATTTGTTCATTAAACAAATGAAACATCGATGGTTTCTCCAACTTTGAGAATTAGGTTATTTAGCCTTTCACTTCGTAAATTTTCGCTCGGAAATAAATTCTATTAAATAAAAATGCCTATTAAATAAAATATAGAGTTTAGTTTTTTTCTATATTTAACTTGAATATAATAAATTGTAATGCTTTTGTCCCTTCAAGGACTTGAGGTCAAAAACTACCTATGTATAAATGAGGCACCTTTCTAAAGTTTTAAAAATTATTAAGATTTTTGCTGACGCATAAGTAATTAATTTGAATATAACAAATTATGTTTAATGCCTTTGTCTCTTCAAGAGCTCGATATCAAAAATTACTTATGTATAAATGAGGCATGTTTCAATAGTAAAAGGCTTGCTCAGAAAACAGTTTTCTCGCTCCCTCTTGGAAAAATCGGCTCCTTAGCAAGGCACCGTGTGTGTGTGTGTGTGTAACCTTCTATAAGGGGGTGTCGAGACTAATGTTTTAAAGTATTTTAAATATTATTAAGATTTTTGCTGACTTGTGAATAGTTGCTTAGTTTTACCTTTTTACGCGCCAAATTGCAATTTGCAAAAACATCGATTTTGAGAAAAAACATCGATGTTAGCAGCTAATATAAAAACATCGATGCTCTAACCGCAACTGGAGAACGGTTCTAACGGAACTAAGACTCGATTCCAAAAGAACCGAAAAATGGTCCCGGGAGAACAGAAACGCTTTTCCAAAAGAACCGAAACTCGATTAAAAAAACTGAAAAACGGTTGCGGAGGAACCGAAAGGCTATTCCAAAAGAACCGAAAAACGGGTCCGGAATAATCGAAACTTTCTTGCAAGAGAACCGAAAACGGTTCCGGAAAAACCGAAGCTCGATTCCAAAATATCGGAAAAACGGTACCGGAAGAATCGAAACTCGATTCCAAAAGAACCGAAGAACGGTTCCGGAAAAACCGAAACTCGTTTCCAAAAGAACCGAAAACCGGTTCCAGAAGAACCGAAAAATGGTTCCGAAAAAGTAATTTCAAAAGAACTCTTACGGAGGAATCAAAACTAGGCACTATGGGCAACAAATTTATTGTTTTAGCATAAAGTCTAAATATGAAGATACCAGGCCGAAATTCGGTTTAGACACATATGAATTATAAGAGTTCTGAGTTGACGAGTTGACCCACCAAATTTTGTTCGGTTCGAAGCACTATATCATATAGCCGCCATATACCCGATCTGGCCGACTTACATCAACTTCGTTGCTTTTGATGCTATAATTTGGTTTGTTTACGTAATATGGAGTTCTGGGCTCGAATCGTAACATCCGTTCACGAATAGAAAACCATACAA